ATATATATATATAATGTTTATGTTTATTTATACCCCCATTTTATCTCTCTCGAAGGAGGCTCAAAGCGGCTTACAATTAAAACTATGACCAGTGAATTTAAATATATATGAATATGCAAACATTAAAACAGAATTAAACACAACAGTATTAAAATTCACTGTTAAATTCCATTAAAACATAGTCAAAGCTAAAAATCATAGCACCCCCATGACTTGTTCTTAAAAACCTTCTTTAAAAGCCTGTCTGAATAAGGTTTTAGTCATACACCCACACAGATATAAACTCTCTCTCTCTCTCTCTCTCTATATATATATATATATACACACACACACACACATACATACACACACATATGTATAAGCACTACGTATACAATTTCCCAAGACTTGCACCCACATTGTAAAATTAATGCAGTTTGGGTGCCACTTTAGTTGCCATGGCTCAATGCTATGGGATGCTGGAAGCTGTAGTTTTACAAGATATTTAGCCTTCCCTTCGAAGAATGCTGGTGCCTCAGCAAACTACAGCTTCTACAATGCTATGGCAGTTAAAGTTGTACCGAACTGCATTGATTGTACTGTCAAGATGCACCCCAGGGTTTGAATCCCCACGCAGTCATGGAAACTGGGAGTGTCGCACCAGGTGCATCTACAGTGTAGAATTAATGCAGTTTGATACCACTTGAACTGCCAAGGCTCAATGGTACGGAATCCTGGGAATTGTAGCTTGTAAACTGACCATTCCCATTCCATCACATTCAGCCGTGGGAGATAAAGTAGTGTCAAACTTCGTTGATTCTACAGCTTCAGAAAATTCCCATGATAGGTTTGCCTTTAGGTCGTCATAAGTTAGAAATCACTTGAAGGCTTTCATTAAGCACAGTGTTGTTCTGAATAGATTTAAGAGGGCCCTATATATTTTGTCAGGATGCAGCCCTGATGCTGGATCCCCAAACACATGATTTAACCTGGTTTTAACCTTTAAAGCCCTGAATGGTCCACACTCTTGTTACATCCCAAATAGATAACTGCAACACACTCTTCGTGGGGTTGCCTTTGAAGGCTGTTCAGAAGCTTCAACTGGTCCAATGCTTGGCACCGGAGCGGCATACCTAGAGCGTACAACCCCTCTGCTACACCAGCTCCACTGGCTGCCAGTCTGCTTCTGAGCACAATTCAAAGTGTTGGTTTTAACCTTTAAAGCTCTGAACAGTTCCAGCCCAGATTACCTGTCCGAATGTATCTCCCATTACAAACCATCACAAAGTTTAAGATCAGAAGGCCCTGCTCTCAATCCCACCACCATCGCAAATGCAACTGGTGAGGATAAGAGACAGGGCCTTCTCAAGTGGTGGCCCCTCACCTGTGGAACTCCCTTCCCAGTGACACCAGACTGGCCCTCTCCCTTCTATCCTCAAAAATAAACTTAAAACCTGTTTATGGGACCAAGAGTTTGAATAGTAGAGGCAGCAATTTGGGAATAAGACTCAATGTAATATGAATGACAAATGGACTGACCCAGACACTGATTTTAAACGGGCGTGATTTTAAATATTTATTTGATCTGTTTTATTAATGTATTGCATTTTAATGAATTGTTTTAATGTAATTTATTATTGTGGTTAGCACGTGAATGAGTGCTTGTTGTGAAGCCACCCTGAGTCCCCCTTCTTGGGGGTGAGAACGACTGGGGACAAACGTTAGAAATAAATTATATATATATAGACACCCCCCCCCCAGTGGCACAGTGGATTAAACCACTGAGATGCTGTACCTGCTGACCAAAAGGTCAGCAGTTCAAATCCGGGGAACGGAGTGAGTTCTCGCTATTAGCCGCAGCTTCTGCCAACCTAGCAGTTTGAAAACATGCAAATGTGAGAACATCAATAGGTACCACTCCGGTGAGAAGGTAACGACACTGCATGCAGTCTTGCTGGCCACATGACCTTGAGGTGTCTATGGACAACCCCGGCTCTTCTGTTTAGAAATGGAGATGAGCACCACCCCGCCAGAGTCCAGATTAGACTTAATGTCAAGGGAAACCTTTATCTTTATAATAATAATTGTAGACGCCACCGTTTGCTGAGCTCGCTCGGCAGGCTGCTTTTGCCAAGTGCTTTCGATGAACTTGGTTCACCCCACACCGATAGACTGGAGTTGGTGTGGTGCCAAACCCGAAGGGGAACGGAACTGGAGGTGGGGACCTGTCCCTGGCAGGGGGTCGGTACCTGCATCAATTCAGACCCGCTGGGTAGCAAGCATGGCAAAGGGCACCCGACGCTAGGATGGGTGAGGATGCCACCTCTATTTTAACTAAAGAGAAGACGGAGGGAAGAAATACTGCTCAGAGAAATAAGGTACTCAAGTGTTCCCAGTGAAATAAGTGAAAGTGGGAAAAGTGGGGGCCGGGAGAAGAGGCTCGGGAATTACAAAGAAGGCAGGTTTCGCAACAGCCCTAAAGGGAAAGGAAAGGAAGGGAGAGGAGAAGAATTAGGACCGGAACGTGGAAGGTAGAAGAAAAGCTACCCAAAAACTAAAGCCAAAAATTTGAAAATTTGAAATTGAAATCTATTGAGAACTGTACTGGATTTACTAAAGAACTGAGAACTGAGTACTGGAGTACTGGAGTTACTAACATGTATAAAAGACCCCAGGAGTCACTGGGAAGCTAGAGAACGGAATGTTTAAAGAGGAAGCCTTTATGCCTCTATGCCTTAAGAGATAACTTTAATAGAGAGACAAACACCTTAAGCTAACAGAATTATAAAAGGAAATGGACTAAACCAGTACCGAATAGAAGGCCGGCGCGCTCGTGAGAAGGAAACAACATAAAACGAAGTGGAAACGGAGGCGAAGGCGGAATGAAATGCAGATTTGTTATGTTTCCCTCCGGTTATCAAACTGATAGAAACTACAATTAATAATACTAATAATACTACCATCAACAGCTGTTAAATATTGTTAAATATTAATTACTTCAAGATAGTGCAATATATGTTATCTAGTATCAGTCAGGACTGACTAATTTAATCATATGCAGGAATCAATTGGAGACAGGAGTAGATAAGTAGAGTTTATAATATTATGAAATTACAACAACATTCTTAGTCATATAAGAAATGAAAGTGAAATACTAAAATTGTGTGTATCTGTTCCAATTTCTTTTATAGAAGCTACAATTTAACCATTATTTTTAACCATTATTTTTAAGATCTGAATTAATTTTATTACAGTGATACCTAAGATTGTTTAGATAGATTAACTTGATTATACATAGGAAGTAATTGGGGAGCAATAAGATAGGGGTATTTATGGTTAGTAAATTAGAGTTTATAGTATGAAGAACTTAAGAATGCGTACTTGCTAGTGTAACAGATAACCATATGTAAATTAATTGCTACTTAACTTATTTGAAGAAACTGTGGAAAGTGTGTGATAAATATCTAAAATATAAAAGGACCCAGAAAGGGAAAGAGAAGGAGAAATGACAACACCAAAAGGGAAGATGGACAAGGAAAAAGAGAGGAAGAAGGATAAGAAAACTCAAGTAAAGAAAGAATCGTTAACGGAAGAATTCACCATGAGGGACCTAATGCGGGAAATACTAAAATTACAAACAGACGTACAAAGAATAGAAGGAAAACAAGATAGACAATACATGAAAATTAAGGGAGAGATGGAAGAAATGAAGAAAGAATTTAAAGAAGAAATACAACAAGTAGTGAAAGAAGTAAAGAATATGCACAAAGAAATTGAGGGGTTAAAGCAAGGCAGAAAAGAAGACATTAAAGAGAATAAATTTATAAGACAACAACAAAAAGAACTGGAAAAGAACTTTTACTCTATTGAGAAAAAAATAACGATGCTACAAACACAACAAGAAATTCTAGAGGCAAAAGAAAAAGAATTTCAATTAAGATTCAGAAACATACAAGACGAAGAAAAGGAAAACATCAAAGAAGTAATAGCAAACATGGTAGCCCAATTTCTTCAAATCAAACACGAAGAGGTAGAACATAACATTGATAGAGTATTTAGGATACAATCAAACTACGCAAAAAGATATAACATACTGAGAGATGTCATTGTGTGTTTTGGAAAAAAATGCACTCGCGATATAGTGCTCAAGGAAAACGCTAGAACCCCAACATATTATAAGGGAAATAAAATTGCCATTTTAAAAGAACACCCAATGGCAGTTTTGGAAAGGAGACGTAAATATTTCTTTCTAACAGATGAACTCAAAAGGAGGAATGTTAGGTTCAAATGGGAAAGAAGAGAAGGAGTAATGGTAACCTGGGACAATAATAAACATTGGTTAACGACGGAACACAAAGCAAGGGCATTCTATGAAAAATACTTAAGAAAGGAAGGAGAGGGACGGGGGGAGGGGAGAGGGAGGAGGGGAGAACAGGAATGAGCAGATAACGGAGATCGACAAAGGAAGAGACCAAGAGAAATGTCTCCTAAGGATTATCCATCCTTCCTGGACATGACCAAGGCAAACTTAGATAGGGACAGAGAAACAGAGGAACTAAATGGCACAGAAAATTAAGATATATTCAAATAATGTGAATGGATTAAATAATCCAAATAAAATGAAATAAAAACAAAAACTTAGAATTCAAAAGGATAAAGGAAGAACTCACAAAAGCAGAGTTAGAATTGAAATCTAACCCAAGTAATAAGAAAATAAAACTACAATTGGAGCTACTTAGGAAACAAACAGACTCATTACAGCTAGAAGAAATAAGTAAGAAACTAAAATTCGTGAATCAACAACACTTCGAAAACGCCAATAAAATAGGGAGTTTCCTCACTTAGAAAGTTGCAAAGAAAAAAC